TTGTTTTGTTTTCTGATGAAGGAATAAACAGATGACAGGAGGCTACCTTGTTTGCACAAATTGTGCTCAGATTGAAAGGTGGCTGAAAATTCCATGAAATAAGATGACCTTGCAGGCTGTGCATGTGATTTGTGAAGATGTGCCTGTTTGTTTGACTTCCATATTAAGGACAGAAATTAGCATTTGAACTGCACAAAAGTTGGAGGGGGGTTAAAGAATGGAAAGTCTGCTTGGGATCAGTCTGTACATTCTTCCTCTCCTACTTCTGGCTGCTAATCTATGTTACCTCTATTGCAAAGGGAAGCCTGAGGTGGCTGTCCTGGCTAGGATTTCCCCAGACTAGAAGATCAATGGCTTGTTAGCTTATAATGGCAGAACTCAAGGTGCAAAGCAGAGTGAAAATTAGGAGGATAAGAGCTTGTGCTCTGGGGCCAGATTATTTGTATTTGGTTTTCTGTTTCACTCTTCCTACCCTACTAGCTGTATGATCTGAGCGAATAATTAGCCTCTCAATGCTTCCGGTTCCTCGTCTATAAAATGAGTGTTACAATGGTATTTGCCCACAGGGTTGTTATATGAAAAGCGCACACAATAGTCCCTGTATGTTGTCTGCAGACAGTGCTCATAGCTGTAGGAGGAAGGCTCACAGGACAAGGATGAAGAGGCTGGCTCTCTCCTTGCACCAACAGTCAGGAAGTAGCAACAATTTTTGTAAGCAGCAAAAGCTCTGCATTTTACCTTTTTTTCCTTCCAAATGTGCAGAAAAAAACATTAGTTATGGACACAAATACAGTCAATCTCTTTACACGTGGAGAAATTAATATTTCTTCTAGAAAAGTCACCATATGTTGGGAGGGCACCAGTTGGTATTCAAATGTGAGTGAAGACAGATGTGTGCCAAACACAGAACAATTAAAGTGCATGTCAATCCTTTTCAGTCTTGGAAAACATTAGAGGCCCAACAGTGATGGAATTTGAATATAACTGAATGTTCTTTACTAACTTCTTTTCATGGCTGAAGTCTCAGGCAAAATAACCATAATAAAATACTCCTAGTTAGATATTAATGGGTCCTGTTTTATTATAGGAAATATGCAATGGCCAGACTGGCAACCTGTGAAGGGAACTGGCTTCAAAGATGCATTGAAAAGCCAACATATCAACAGCAACTCAAAGAATTTTTTGAGTGGTTCTATTTATTTTTCTTGAAATACATATCCTTGAGGGTTTAAATTAAATTCATTTGGTTGAGCTTCAGGATTCCAAGGCAAAGCCTGAATAAGCATTTAATGAAATAGGAAACTAAAAGTCAGAAAAGAATGGCAACTTAGGCTTCAGTGATACACCTGGGACATGCAAAAATGAGAGGATCCACAGCTCAACCCCAAAGCTTTGTACCCCAGTTCCATACACCATCAGAGCAAGACGTCTTGTGTGAACTGATTTCTAGATTTCTGTTTTCAGCATCCTGTGAATGTGTTCAGTCTGTTTATATCAGACTGTAATGTACATGGAAAATACCTAGGCCTCTTGTAGAATTGCAGATTCTGACCCAGGAGCCCTGGGCTGGTGCCTGACTTTGCTTTTCTTACCAGCTCCCTGGTGGTGCTGGCCCACAGAGCATGGGAGGCTCTGCATGATCTCTACGCTCATGCTTCTATTAATGCCACTATTCTGTGAAAGCGTGATCATCTGACATTTCAGATAAGACAGGAGGGTTTCACAAAACATGCCTACCATGGCATTAACTGTTTTCATTCTTCATAATCATCTTCATCAAAAACCCTTTAAGTGCCTAATTATGCATAACAGTGTCACATGCTTTACAAAAAGAACTAAATAGATTTGGTCCCTGGCTTATCAGATTTGACAACCTTAGACAGAGAAATATGTATAGAGACAGTAATAAATATTGAGTGATAAATGCTTATCCAGATATAGAACACATTCAAATGAAAGTGGATATGTATTTAGCGTGGGCCTTCAGATGTCAGTTTTCATACAGCTTTTGTTCCTTTTAAAAATCTGGGAAACTAAAAAGATTACCCTATAATTTTTACGTAAAAAGAAGAGGTTTCTTTTTTTGGTTTTACAGATGGCGGTTGGGAAGGAGAAGGTCAGTGTCTGAGGCTGCTTTTCTAGCTATTTGATTGATTTTGGCCTCACTGACTTTAAAAGAGATACTTAGTGGTCCCACATGGGTAACTCTATCCATATACAGGTGCCTTGGCCTGACTTTATTTTGCACAGTATTGAGTGTGTGTACACAAGTTCACCAAACTACCCTCAGAGATTCCTACTCAGAGGTCTTAGGCCCACCAGTCACCCTCACACTACCTCTGGGAAGCAAGGAGTGAGGTCTGGACATGGTTATCTCTGAATCGTGGGCTCTTAGGTGATGGCGGAGGAGGAAAGTGATATTTCCAAAACCTCATACCAGTTTACTCGTGTAGGAAGGTTTGGATTTGGTTCTCTTTCTTCTGTACACACATTTGCTGAACTGACCTGAGGAGATAGCTGTCTTCATTGAGGAATGGATCATACAAGTGGCCTTTGCATTTTTTCCTGACAACAGAACAGGTGCTGCTGCTGGAGGGCAGGCCACCAACCTGGCAGAGATTGTATTCAGGTCCCCATGGTGAGCAGTGCTTTGTTAGAACCATATTACTGGTTAGCAGGGTGATGTTAAAATGGCTGAGTTTATTGATTTATTCTAACTCAGCAAGAGCTAAACGAATTATCACAGGTCTAGAAAATGTTTTATCTAATTGAGAGTTTCTGAATCAAATATGTACTAATAATGAGAGTAGAGATCCTTTTAATTTAACTAGGCATATGCGATACTTAGTAGTGACTGTGGGTATGCTCAGTGACATTAAGATGTAGAGGGAACTGTGTGAGCCATAGTCTTAGGCTACAGTCTGTGTGTTATCCCAAATGGTGCATATGTGTGAAGAGACACTGTGGAATCAGGCACCCTTGGGTCTGAAACTTGACTCCACCATTCATTGGCTTTGTTAATTCACCTTTCTATGCCTCAGTTTCCCTATCTGTGGAACCAGTAACAATAGTATGGATCCCATGGAATTCTTGTGAACATTATATGAAATGGAGATATATGGATTGTCTAACACAGTGTCTACAAATTGTAAGGATTCATAACTGATCATTATTAGTAATCATAATAAAACCAGTATACAGAACAGCATCTGAAACCATTTGTCTTGAAAAAAAAAGAGCTAGAGATTCTAAATTTGGTATTTTTATATTATATCATGTGCAAGTCTTTGTACAGGAGGTTGTGTCTGGGTTAATGAAATGTCACACTCTTGTTTATTAGGAATAAAGCTGCTATGAAGACAAAGCCTCCATTAATTAGGTTCAACTTCATCTTTCATTCTGTAATGCCCCATGCAGCTGTAGTGTCCTTTTTTAAAATAAATGAAATTCACTGTAAAGAATGAAGACTACTCATGTAAAAAATATAAAACTATGAATAATTATATATTAAAGAAGGAGGCTAAACTTTTAAAAAGCCACAAATGGCAATATCATGTATCTTTCATTAGCACCTCGTAATAGATCGGTGGGCAGATGGAATTTTGCAGGCAGGATTGAGTACACTAAGTATCTGGTTGTCTCTTCATCAGCAAATGAGAATGGAGAGAGATGTCTGGAGCTTGATCTCAGGAAGTTAGGGGGTGTCCTTTGCCTGCAGACAAGGAGAAAAGGCAAGAGGCTGTGTTCCTTGGTGTATGCCGACTGTATTGCAAGGGAAAGAGGCCTGTAGAGCATGGGCATGAGGCAGCTGGAAGGAAACTCAAGAAACCAAATGAGCCATTTAAAGTGGAGCCAGATACACGGGAAGCCAAGCCCTGGCAAAGCCCCTGACCTCAGAAACCTGTCTACTAGTACCCCCTACCCCCTGACAGGGCATCTGTGGCTTTTTTGCAAGTGGAGATTAAGCCACCTTGGTCTAGAAGTAGCAGTGCTTTCATCCAGTTCTTCCCTTACTTTGTTGTGCAGGCAACTCACCTGGGGAGCTTGTTAAAATGCAGGTTCTGGTAGGGCTGAGGTCAAGTCTGAGACCTACATTTCTAACAAGTACCCTGGTATTTCTGAAACTGCTGGGCTAGGGATCGTATTTGGAGTAGCAAGTGTCTAACCCATGCTCTCCCCAAGCATCCCTTTCTCTAATCACCACCTCCTGTCTTTCTGTCCCCTGTACCTTGACTCCACATTGCTCACAATCTACTGATCCTCCTCAATTTCACTGCCATCCACTCTACTTATAGCCACAGTTTTATAAAAGCAGAATTTTAGACTTGAGATTACATTTCTCAAACTTGAATCACACCTCCTCCTGTAGGAAGTGATCTTTATGAGTGATATATCTTTATTTTTAAGCATAAGGAACCATGTTAAAAATAAAGTATATTTCAAAGTGAAAGCATAAAATAATATGCCTAGATTTGGTCTAACAATTGCCACACAGTTCTTTGCAATTTCATCGTACCTTTTTTGTTGATAAGACTTTTACCTTCTTAGGCATGCAGCCATTTGTGTTTGACTCCATGGTCCCTTGCATATCTCAAAAGGTCTGCATTTGAGTTCTGTGGTCGCAGTGCTGATATAACTCAGTTACCATCAGAATCTGTGAAAAAGAAGTGGAGGAGGCACTGAGTAAAAATAAAGCCTGGGCATAATTATCACGTTTTCTTAATGCCATCATTTTTATTTTTCTACACGTATAAAATTTAGGCTACTATATAGAGCTGTGAGTATTTTAAGAGCAAGTTTTAACTTTGGCCTTTTAGCAGTCTTTTTCAATGTGCATAGTGTTAGAATACTAAAGGTTAATTAATTAGTTCTTTGTCTGTTGCTGTCTTTATTGTCCAGAACTTTAAAAAGTAAATTAAAAGATAATCATTTTACCCTTAGTTTTGCAGTATTAATTGTACAGAATTTTGAAATTGTTTTCTCTTGTGTTTCCTTTCTAGAACACATGAAGACCTTTTATTATTCATCTGTTGCGGACAACTTCAGATCTGGGAAAGGTATTTATTTCAAGGTATTTATTTATCTATGTGATTGCTCATTCAAGCTGGCTTCTAGCTTAGCTTTGTGAACAGACACTGGTTGTTCATTTGGAGACCCTGAGTTGTAGGCCTGGAAACACATAGCCTGAGCTGGTCCAATTTTGAGTTTGACCCATGAGTTTTCTGGGATACAGACCAAGACACCAGCAGGTGTGCTTCCTGTAACACAGTGTTTCCTTTTGGTCAGTGACAGGCACAACCCTGGTTCTGCTGTATAATTAAAGTTGGGTAAATACCTAACCTTCTCAATCCCTTTCCTCATCTTTAAGATGTGGATAACAAGTAGATTGCCTCATGGGTTTCATGAGAAATTAATACAATGCGCACTAACACCATCATCAAAAACAGGGAAGTTGTATTTACTGTTATCATTATTAGAGCTAATAGTAAAATTACACCACAGATTTCTTAGTGACCTTGAGCCATCTTCTCTTAACAGAATCAAATCCAGCAAAAAAAATCATCCAACCTAAATGAATAATAAGTTAACATAAAGACATTGTATATTTGATTTTCACAATTAGTTTGGTAGAAAGTTATCAATTTTTATAATGAATCCTGGACTTTGAAGTGCCATGTCCACATCACTTAAAAGACTTAGGACTCTCCAGTGCAGTGGCCTGGCCTGACCTATTGCCATTACACATCATTATCCAATTCCGTATGGCCTGGAGAGGAAGAGGTCCGTCTGCTCTGGATTTTCCCAATCTCTTCACAGAAGGAACCTTGTTAAACAGGCCACTGTCCTCATTAAAACTCTCCTTCCACTTGTTGAGAAGTTGTCTGTCTTGCAGGACCCCTTAGGAGGGCAGGGCACTGTTTCAGGGTCATCATGGTTCCCCTCTGAAGCCTGAGTCTTTCTCAGTATAACTGCAGATCCTGGAGAACAGCTTGCCTTTTGTTAGCTAACTTTGACTAAAGAATCAGTGCATTAAGAGCTTTGATTATCCACACTCCACAGATGCCTTCCTCTGATCACTCAACATTTGACAAGAATCTTGATTCAGGAATTAAACACTGTTTTCTTTTTTTTTTTTGGTACCAGGGATCGAACTCGGGTCTTTGCGCTTGCGTAGTCGGCGGTGAAACCACTGAGCTAAATCCCCGGCCCAAACACTGTTTTCTCTAATGCACTTCTATTTTCACCCAAGTGGCCTGCCTTGCACATTTTAGTGGTAGCTGGAAGTGCAGAGCATTTTCTAGTCAAGGGATAATTAGGATTTAACTCAAGAATCTGTACATTTGAGACTACGTTCCAGATGCATCTGTAGTGATCTCACAGACCTCCTCAGCTTCTGCAAAGTATTACATGTTTCTTTCTCATATGTTAAAAATTTGACTTAATTTACTTTTCAGTTTGTTCTATGCCTTGTCAAACTCCTGTCTCCAGTGTTATGGTTGTCTTTATTTGTATGTCCCCAAGAGCTCTCAAAACAAACAGGTGTACAATAAAAATGCCTTTCTCTACCTCCCTCACTTCTCTGCTTGCGACTGATTGCTTCTCGTGGAACTCCTTCTCAGTTAATGGCATCCCTGTCAGCCAGTGACTCAGGCCAGAAATCTCTGTCCTGACACTGCCTCTTCCTCCTCATTCAATCCTCACTAGATTCTTGATTTAATGTAGTACAAAAATTTTTGAGAACAGGGATAGCGTTAGGTGAGGTCAGAGGCTCACTGCCAGCTGTCACAGATGATCATTGTAAATACTATTGGACCCTCCCTTCCTCTGCCTCCCACAGTCACTGCTTTAGACCTGGCCCAGATCAGTGCCAGAGCTGCCTATCACAGCTCCCTTCCAAAAAACCGCCCTGCTCTGTGAACCCTGCTCCCAAATTTATAACGTGATTTCTGACTCAGAGACTTGGGTGAGCCCCTATCACCTTGAGGACAGACCCAGACACCCTCAGGTGGATCCCTGTGATTCAGCTGTGGGTACCCCTCCAGCACATTGCCTGTCTTTCCCGGCTTTCCAGTCTCTGCTTCATTAAGACTGAATTTCTTGTGGGGTGTTCTGAGATATCATACCCTTTTCAGGCACACATGCTTTTCTTTGTGCCTGCTGTTCTCACTTCTGAGAATACTCTTACCCCTTCTTTCTTGATAAATTCTAGTGCATCCTTGAAGACCATCTCTATTCCATCTCTTCTGAGAACCCCTCCATGATTCCCCCAGGTGTGGCTTCCACGGTTCCTCAGTTGTGTTTCTATTCATACCCTGTTACAGTTACCTGCTTATATATCTGACCCTTCTAGATGCTAAGTGTGAAGGCAAGGTTCTGATCTTATTTTTGTACCTCTAACATGTAATAAATGCCGGGCACATAACACACAGTGAATGCTCTCATTTCTTTAAATGAATGTATCTGTGACATTGTAATAAGGAAAAAGCAAGTATTCATCAAAAGTAATTGATCTCAAGCTGTGCTTTTTTTTCTGATTACACATCAGCATTTTTCTCAACAATAATGCTCTGCTTTCTGTTTTGCTTTTAGTGTCCATGTGTTAAAGAAGAGCCACCAAAGCCCCTTTCCCTCTTCTGCTGATACCAATATTAACCAGTGGCTACATCCTTTTTGAAAATGTGTATCATTTCCCCCTGGGAAGTAGACTCAGCCAATTCCTTTACTAGCTTTGGTGATGATTGTAGTTACTTCAGGGATGTTTTATTTTGAGGTTCAAAATTTAAACTGCACCAACCCATTATTAGGCTTTTAATTTTGCCTGTTTTGGAAATGACTTTCTGATTTCCAGAGGGGTTTTTTTTCCAGTTATTAGAAGTACAAGCATTGAAAACACAGAATTATAACTGTCTATGGAGACATGAGCTCCTAATCTAAATCAACAAGTAAGTGGGTTTTGTGAGAGGCCACAGTTAAAACAATTACCAATGAACCGCATCTTTGAGGAGTTAGGGGAAAATAATGGCATTCATTTTTAACTCAAAGCAAATCTAAGCAAGAGCCTAGGCTTTCTGGAGTGGTTTTGTAAGCAGAGGTTACCACAGGGCATGTCAGCACTTTTAACAACTGGCTCCACAGTAAAAACAGGCTTAGGTTGTAAGGTGATTGCAGAGTGAGGAAATGATGGCTTTAGCTAGCTTTTGTCTTGTGTTTGATCTTTGGCTCACAAAGAGGAGGTTAATTTCAGCATAAGCTATTAGGTTTATTTTTGAAAGTAGTCCATTTTAGTAGCAACCTGCTTATGCTCTGAAATGTCCATGAGCAGTAAGAACGAGTTGGCTGGGAATACTCTGTTATGACATATATCTTACTGTCTCAGGGCCAGTAGTTAAACTGAATATTTCACAATCGCTCTAATTAATCTTTTTTTTTCTTTTTTGCTGTCCTCCTCTACATTTATTATATTCTGAATTATAAGAACAGTGTGTTTACTCAGTGTCGAAGTTGCAAAACACAAAACTCTCAAGGAAGAAAAAATGTTTCCCAGTGAGTCATTACCCAGAGAGCCACTGTAGTAACTTGGTTTCCTCAGAGTTCTGCATACACACTTGCAAACATACACATATCTTTTAAATTACCGTGATGAAAAATTTCACATGCATAAGGGAAAATTATACAGCAATATACTCACGGCTAGAATCACAAGTGGTCAAGATTTTGCCGCTGTGATTCCATCTGTCCCCCTGTTTTTCATGCCCTTCTTTCCTTTTTTGAAATATCAACTACTTCAAAAAGCAAAGAGGAATTCTAATATTCTAGGGCTGTGGAAAACAATTATTTGCCTGCCTATTCCTCATACTCTTACCTTTTATTAGGAAGCACAAAGTACAGATTTACACTTAGTATTGCATTGTACTTTGAGTATAAGCGGCCTTAAAGCTCAGGTGTATCACATGCTAGATGGGTATTGATTTTTCCTCTTAAATCAATGTTTCCCTAGAGCATAGTTTTATTTATTCATAAAGCTCAGATGATGTCTGACAGGAGTTACAGCAGTGTACATCCGTGGGGCAGGCGCAATAAGAAGAGCTTTTGTAAGACTCAAAAATCAATGAACTGATGCTAGAGGGGGACCTCATAAAACTAGAAAAGCACATTCACTGTGCTTCCACATGTAAAAGGAAGATTTCAGCACAGGGGTAACATTCACTCCTCTGGGTTTTGTGATCCTTTGTAAATGGGCCCAAGAGCAGGGTGTCTAAAACCAGGCCGCACCTGTCCAATACAATGGTGGAACGACAGGCTGGAAGGCAGCAAGGCTTCAGCCCTGAACCCTTGTTGACACTGAGTCTGACAGCTTGCTTGTGAAGGAGGTGCTGGCCCTGTTATCTTTCCCCTGAAAGTCTGCCTCACAGTGCAGGGAGCTCCAGGGTGGGCTTTGTGGCCCTGAAGATGGTCAATACTCACATCTTGGTTTGGGATACTTTTGCATACTTGTTTTTTAAAATATCTCTAACACCTTTCTATATAGCTAAGCCGTGCAAATCATGCATAACCCTAAAGTGCTCACCTTTTGTTCATTAATATGTGTGTTTTCCACTCAACCTTAACTGATTTTTTAAAATTTTTGATTGAAAAATGTATCTAATGGCTAGAATGCCACCATATGGAATTCCAGATGTCCAGTTTCCTATCAGCTATCCAATCTTATCACAGTTGAAGGGCTTGGAGAGTCAGGTGACCTGGACACTGGTTTCATGATTTACTCCTGGCTGTTGTGTGACCTGGGTGAGGCAAGTTCTTAAACTTCCCTGGGACTAAGATTTTTGTTTATATTGTTGCTCATTTATTTCATTTGTTTATATTCTTGCTCATTTCTGTACTCTGCTCTTTTAAAGAGCAGTAAGCATATGAGATTAGCAGTCATTCACTTCTTGATTTCCATAGACTTTTGTACATCTCTTCTGCTTAAAAGTAACTAGTTAATATTGTCTTAAAAGGAGGGAATGAGGGCTGAGGATTTAGCTAAGTAATTCTGCCACCTGCCTCGAAAGGGCAAGGCCCAGATTTCAA